TCCACTCTCCACCCTCTCCTGCTTCAACGGGCAAACGTCCACTCTCCACCCTCTCCTGCTTCAATGGGTAAACGTCCACTCTCCACCCTCAGATTTCGTAATGATGACAGCAAGTAACAGACTGTTTTCTGTTTGTAAAAGCCATGAGCATGAAGACTTACGGTGCCACCAAATCTGCATGGACCCTAGGTTGGCCTCAATGAAGCTTCTGATGATCTTGAGATAGGAATGCCGGGAGTGACGGGTCCAGTTTTCAGGGGCCTGCCTGGGTAGGCCTGGGCCGGTAGGAGGGGCTGTTCCACCAAGGACAGACAAGCAGTACAGGTATGAAGCCAGCTGTTGGTGACCCAGCAGGACGAGACGTTCCACTCCCTGCATCCACAGTACACCCCAGAGGGCCACCAACTTCCGAGTGGCTGAGGCCACTGACCCTGCAGCTAAAAATATCGGGCAGGTTTTGCTGACTTCACTCCGAGGAAGAGCTGGCAGAAGGGGAAGATAGTTGGCGTCAGTCACCTACACGAGGCTGTGAGCAGTATCTCGACCTGTAAAATGTGCTTATTCTCCCCACGGCTCTCAGAAACCCGGGCCATTTCCACGCTCTTGGTTTGGCATCATCTTCGGCACGTTTGGCACCAGAAGTATAACTTTATAGCTTCATAGAAAGGACCAGAAAGCTTCCTATCATATCCTCCACTCTGCAGGGATGGAGGGGATCTTTCTTAACTAGTAAGTAAGGAAAAAAACAAAAAAACAAACAGCCAACCAACCAACCAACTTTCCTGGCCTGAGCAGCGAGCGCTTTGGGGAGAGTCGGAATTGCTTCGCCCTGAGGTTCTGTCCACCCTCCTCCTAGGTACAGGGAAAACTGAACCTCTCTCTCCCGGAGCCCGAGTAGGGCTGTGTAGTTAGATTGGTCCCAAGGGCGGAAGTAGAAGTAACACGTTGTTTCCAGTGAAGAACATCTATCTGAGGGCTGCTACAAGACTCCAGAGTTGGCTTGCATCCGGGCATGCTGTCAACATTCTGTATGTTCTTAGAGCAAGGAGCTTGGAATGCTTGGCCACCAAGCTTCCTTCTCCCCTCCTTCCTATGGCACCGGCCCTGCCAAAGCCCCCCTGCAGCCCGTCTTTATCTACCCCCCACTCTTTGAATTTGTCCTCCCTTTATGATGCAGAGCAGTTATGTAACCATCTTTTGGGTATGAGCATCTTCATTACCCCCAATTCTTTCATATTGGAACATTTCATCTGAAAAAAAAAATACACGGCTCTTTTTCTAAAGGACATCTGGTAAGTTTTATTCCCCCTAGTTCCTCACATTTGGATGAACTCAGTTCTGCAAAGCATTATAGGCTGGGACCACAGCATGTCTGCTCCTGCCACACACGCTCACACCTTGCAACCCGGTCATAACTGCTTGTACTGGCTGTGATTTACTGTGCCATCAGTCCAAGACACAGTTGTATGTGACTTCCCATTTACCATTAAGAAATATGACAGTGGCCATTACCCTAAAAAAAAAAAAGTGTTGACAAGGATTCCTAAAACCAAATTCTCTATTTGGTACAGCTGTCCTCCAGAACCAGTGGTTTCCTTCTATCATGTTGACATGGTGAATGAGGTCACCACTCAGGTTTCTCTCTCTCCTTTTTGGCTCCTAGAAGGCTCTCAGCGAACTCATGGTCCAAATTTAGATGGGTATAAAATTCCACGGCTCGCAGTTTGGGTACCACGCCACTGCAATTCATCCTTCGACCCTCTTCCTCTTCGCCTCTGTTCATACATGCATGTTTTAACTTCTGTTTATTATACTTACATGCTGCCTTAAACCCTTTTGTTTGTGTGATGAGATAGAAATGCATTGAAAAATTACAAACGACAGTAGTACCAGTTTATTTCTTTCGTGGCGGGATCGCTCTGCAATCCCAGGATGTGGGGAGGCAGCTTCCTCTGTGTGCTTCTCCTTGACCTCTGCGCTTTCCCAATGCCTCCATGGTTAAACAAAATCCCTGCTATGCTCTTTAGGTTCGATTCCAGTCTGGCCAAGGGGAGAAAAATGGGCGGAGCCACAATGTAATTAATCTCCCTTCTAAAGGACAGAGTTGCATATGTGAAAGTGTTCACACCTTCCACTTTCTTGGCGACATCGCCACACCTAAATGCAAAATGGGCTGGGGAAATGAGTGTCTGGGTACAATTTGGGGGCTGTATGACGTAAGAAACACACCTTGGTCAAACCACAGCTAAGTACTCCGCGCTCACTCAAAGGCCTGCGAGATTGGAACCCACCTCATTGCTCCATGTGAGAAGGGCCCAGCCATCTGCTTCCTTAAAGATGAATGTCAAGGAAACCCTAAGGCAGTGGTTCTCAACCTTCCTCATGCCACGACCCTTTCATACAGCTCCTCATGGTCTGGTGACCCCCCAACCATAAAATTATTGTCATTCCTACTTCATTACCGTCATTTTGCTACTGTTATGAACCGGGCGACCCCTGTAAAAGGGTTGTTCGACCCCCAAAGGGTTCTCGACCCACAGGTTGAGAACTGCTGCCCTAAGTCGCTGTGTTTCGTGGGGTTGCTAAGTTGAAGCTGACCCAACAGAACCTCACAACAAATTAGGAAAGGAAGGGACAAGGAAATGAACCTTCGGAGCTAACTTGTAATCCTGTGCTCCTTTTAGAGTCTCAGGATAATTCTGAAGTGGGCAGAGAAAGAGGGAGAGACAGAGAGAGAGTCAGGAGCCCCATTTGATACCAAATCCAGTTGTAATGGGCGCCTTGGCTCAAACCAGGCAGGCTGTTTGTCTATATGTCTGAAAAGAGGTTGAAAAAAGAACAATGGTTTTTACTGTATTTCAGCTTACACAGCCTCGTGGTTGAGATGTTGCCTGCCTTTTCTGCCATGTGCAATTGTTTACAGGGAAGTACTGCCACTCAAAGACACCAGACAGGCTGTTCACCTTGGGGTGGAAACCCATAAGAAGGAGCTGGATTAGAGTCAATTAAATGGGCCCACCCTGCACTGGTGGTGCCCTGCTTCTGAGGCCCCAACCACTGGACATAGGGGCAATGGGCTGGCATGGGCTAGCCTGTTCAGGCATGACTATGCTGCTTTAAGGTGAGTCAGTCAGAAGGGGGAAGGTTTCCCATCCAAGAGGTGGTCATCTTCCTATCAACCGCCATGGTGGAAGGTCATCTGAGATAGCAAAAGAGACTCTCAGGTGAAGAGATTACTTCTTTTTCCTCCCTTCTGTGGGCAATAAGAATGGAAACAGAACATGCCAGGAGTACTCCTGCTGGTGGGGGGAGGTGGTGTCTGATACATGAAGGCAGGAAAGAAAATAGACACACGGATTGTCTTCTCCTGGACTTGGATGTGATCCTAGCCTTCAGGGCGCTGAGACTGGACATGTGGCAAGAACTGTGCATTTTTCTTGGAGCTTTAAGGAGACTTTCTTAAAGTGTGTGGCCTGTCTGGTCATAGCTGTACCTCAAGGGAACAACCTGCTTCATGCTTGGGACACAATAGCCACCCAGGAACAGGAAATGTTGCTATAGGTGGGGCAGGGTTCTCTTGGGGCAGCCGTCTCCACTGGACCAGCAGCAGCTAAATCTCGGCAGGGAGGAGGCCAGCAGTGGATCCATTGCCCAGGAATCGAGAGAGTTTCCTGGGGACCCTGGAATAGTGGGGAAGTTCTGAGGCAGGAGAAATGACTTTGTGGGCAGTGGGGGCTTCAAAGTCCTCGGTCTTTTGGAATGATGGGAAATACAATTTCACACCAGCTGTGTGACCTTGGCCACCTGGACAGATTTCTCTTTCCCTCAATCTGCTCATTTACAAGAGGGGAATACCTAACTCGGGCTAGTGAACGAATGACTATACATCTACATTGGGGGCGTTGAACCCACCCTGACGTGACGCTCACACTGAACGAGTTATCGTTTGCTGTTGTCACTCACTACAGGAAGTCTGGCGCAACGATCGCTGTGAGCGCCGTCTTCAAGGAGGGCGAAGCGCTGGAAGGCTGGGATTTCCCACTCAGGGAGGATTGCAGATGCCTTAGGACAGAGGGGGTGCAAGCGAATTCTTGGGATAGGAGAGGACAGCAGGGTCTTAAGGGAGCTGCGGGAAAGATGAGGGCACAGCCAAATCGAGCAGAAAGAGCTTGGGGTACAGGGAAACCATGTGAGAAGGCAGGAGGTGATGTAGGCTGCAGGGTAGGGGGGGGCGCTGTGGGGGTAGTGGTACCACCAGGAGGGCGAGAACAGAGACATCCACACTTGGGAAGACACTAAAACATCACCACGATCTGAGGGAAATCTGTAGGAAAACCCAGAAGATGTCTGGCCAGGCGCAGAAGAAAGTTCTGTCTGAAAACACTAGCTCAGAGCAAAGGCCGGACAGAAGTAGTAGGACCTAGGGTGTACCAGGACTCTGACTGAGAGGAAGCCTATGGTTAATGCAGCTAGACCACCTCTGCCAGTTCATGGGAGGCTAGCATCTCCCTGACCCTTCACTCGCCCTGCTCAGCCCTAGCCAGGGAGAACCTGAGGATACAGCAAGCAGACTTGCACCTGCCTTCTGATGCCAGAGATACTGCCTCGCTCTCTCTGGAGAGGAGTTTCTGTCTGCTTGTGAGACTGGAGTTCTCTGGGAGCCTCCCATCACGGCGCGCCGTTGGAGCTGCAGTCTCTGGCAGGGGTGCAGTATCTAGTGATTCCACCCAAGGGCAAGACTTCAACCTTTGCTGGAGGTTGAAGGCTGAGGACTGCTTCACCGTGGAGACTTCACCTGGACCCCCCACCCCCCTTGCTTCCTTCCCCTTGAAGTGTGAAGCCCCTGGTCTCCAGCATCATCTCAGAGACTGCTTCCTGGAGGCCTGAGCAACAGGACTACGTGATTTCTGACTCCGTGTTTCCCTGGGAAGCCCGGCTGTCCAGGGCCAAGCAGCATTCATGGTAGACCTGGATCCTACAAGCCCCAGACAGGCTCCCTTGACCAGAGCACTAACGCATGGGGGCTACTCTGCATCCAGCCAGTGATTCTGGCTTCTGGCCGGATGTGAGCATGTCCTGGGTCAGGAAGTGGGGAGGGCATGGAGGCCAGAGGTTCCCGTGCACATCCGGGGTTGTACACGGCTGGGGCGAGAAGGCGATGTAGCCATGAGGAAGTGGCCCCGGCTGCTGTGGAGGAGGAGGAGAGGGAGTGGGAGAGCTGTTGGGTCGGTGCTGATTTCTCCCTCAGGCAGAGCCCTTTCTTCAGTACTCGAAGGTGATCGTCTTGCTCCTCAGGTATTCGTTGAGGGCTGCCTCTCCTGCAAGACACCACACACCGTGAGGACCACCAAGGTGGCAGCAGCCCCCCTCCAGGCCAGGCCCCCACTCAGGTGCTGCACACAGATCCTCTCACCACATCCCTGTCCTCTCTCATTCCCACCTGCACGTGAGAACCCGAGGTCCAGCAGGGTCTCAGGCAGGTCACTGCTACCAACAGTGGTGAAGCCAGGATGCCAACCAGGCAATCCACCCCCCACCCCTACCCCACCTCAGATGTTTCTTCAGCCCTGATCAACTCTTTCCAGTTAGGGGCTCCCCATCAGCCAGAGCGGGGGTCAGAGAGGTCTAGTGCGCAGACAAGCACTATCTCCTCTCCGTTTCAGCCTCTGGCACCTGCTGCCTGCCGGCTAGGTGCAGAGAAGGCAGTGGCTGGGGAAAGGCACCTTCACCAAGTCCCCAAAGCCCCAAACTCAGCTAGAACCCATGTGACTGGTTTCTTTGATGCTACAACAAGTATGCAGACAGGTGACTGTGGCTCATGGCCTGCTGAGCACCGACCTCCCAGTTTGATGTCACTTCCTCCACCCCACAGTCATGACACCTACCCCCTAACTGAAACTGGACCCCCCCAGTCCTGAAACCTTCTCCTCACGCCTGGACCCTTCTCCCCAACCCTGGCACCTACCTTTATCTCCAAGCATTGACACTTCACCTTCAGTTCTGATACCTACCCATGACCACTGGCACCTACTTTCAGCCATGATGCCTACCTCCTCATACTGGCACCTACCACCCAGACCTGGTACCCATTCTCCAAGCATTGGCACTTCACCTTCAGTTCTGATACCTACCCATGGCCACTGGCACCTACTTTCAGCCATGATGCCTACCTCTTAATACTGGCACCTACCACCCAGACCTGGTACCCATTCCTCTAGACATGGTACATGGCATAACCATGCTCCACCCCTACTCAGCCCTGGTGTCTCTCCTATAGCCCTGACACCTCACCCCAGAGTCCCAACACAGCCAGCCCTGGTCCCTTTCCTCCATGTGCAAGAATCCCCCATCGCTGACATGTATCCCCCGATCCTAGGGACATCCTCCCCAGCCATGGCGCCTCCCCTCACTGCCATCACTTACCCCATAGCCCTGAAACCTCCTGCCCAAGCTTGGCACCTGCCTGACAGCCCTGACACCTGACACTGCCTCTGAACCCTTGCACCTCCCAGGGTTGACACCTCCCTCCAGCCCTGGCATCCGGCCCCCAACAATGGCACCTCTTCCTCTACTCTGCTACCTCCCCTGAAGCCTCTTACCTACTCCTCCAGTCTTGGACACCTCCCCTCTAGCCCTGCAACCTCTGACTGAGCTCTAGAACCCCTTTCCCACCCAGCCCATACTTATCACCCCAGCCCTGACACCTACCTCCCACCCCCAGCGTCTGACCCTGGGATGTCTAACACCTTCCCACCAGCCATGCTAACTGTCCTCCTGCCCCCCTCCAGTTCTGAAAGTCACCTCCCCCACCTACCAGTCCTAACATCCTTCCGTAACCGCGGTACCCCCTCTTTAGCTTTGATCCTCCTCCTGCCCTATCTATCGTTCCCCAGCTGCAGTTAATGATTCCCAGATGTTTGTGCCAGTCACGACACTTCCTCAGGGATCTCTGGCCCGGTCCCAAATCAGCTCTGTTCCCGTGAGTCTACTGGCCCCTCTGCAGGACACAGGCCGTGGAGGGAGGAGAGAGCAGGGGAACTTGGTATGTCAAGAGTGGCAGGGGGCTTGGCAGCTTCAACCTTTTCTGGAAGACTGTGGTCAAGAAAAGGCAGTTTGGGAGAAGGAGGGGCGGGGGAGAACAGCAGGAGCCCAAGTTGCCGGTGTGTCTGTGGGTACTTGAGTAGCTAGGCGATGTGTAAGCCATGTCTCTCTGACACGTGTGGGTTCATGTGGGCCTGTGTGTGTGCGCCAGGGCCTGTGGTGTCAGGAGGCTGCTGGTCATTTCACAGCATCCGTGGAGGTTTCCGAGGGGTTTGAATGTTCCCCAGATGGAAAAGATGAAAGAATGATTCCCCTTCGGCATCAGCCTCTGCCTGAAACTTCCTGGAGTTCCTGAGCCAACACAGGGGTCTGAAGAGAGGCACCAAGACTTCCAAGAGGCAATGGGGTGGCTCTTTCCAGACGTTGACACCCTACCAGGCTCGGCCAGCAGAGTGGCGAGTGGCCAGTCCAGCTGGCATGCATCTGCAGAGGCAGGACCGGGAGTCAAGAGCCGTGGGGTAGCCCAAGAAGGAGGAATGCTGGAGCAGAGCTGGGCTTTGCCAAGGGAACAGTAGGCCCGTGTGCATCATGGTGCCTGCCCCTTGGGACCCACCGCTGCTGTGGCATCTGTCACTAAGGCTGTTCAGACTGGGCCTCAGTCCCTGGGGCCAATCAGTCCCTAAGGCTTCTCATCACCTGGTTGACCCCCGAGTCTCTAACCACGACCTGTAGGACCTTTCATGAGCTAATCTCCCACCGCCCTCTCCTCCTCTTCTCCTGCCAGTCCTTCCCTTCTCTAGCACATGCTGCCCACTGTCACCTCCTCTCTGTTCCTTAGGACTTGTGCTGTGCCCTCTGTCAGAAGCCTCACCTGCTCTATCTGTGGAAGCTGTTCTCATCACCCAGGGCTCCACTCAGTTTTCATCTCCTGGAGAGATTCTCTGGCAAGTCCTCACCTCCTGCTCTCAGTTCCCCACCACTCCCACTTCACTTTGCTTGGTTTTCTGCGCAGGATCCTCTAGAGCAGTGGTTCTCAACCTGTGGGTCATAATCCCTTTAGGAGTCGAACGACCCTTTCACGGGGGTTTCCCGATTCATCACAGTAGCAAAATGACAGTGATGAAGTAGCAATGACAATAATTTAATGGTTGGAGGGTCACCAGACCAGGAGCAACTGTGTGAAAGGGTTGCAGCATGAGGAAGGTGGAGAACCACTGCTCTAGAGGCATCTCATTCACCGATAGGGCTGTGGCTTGTCTCCCCCACTCAAAAGCTGTCTTACTCAACACCGCACCCCTCGCACCCAGAGTAGTGCCTGGCAGAGTGACCTTTAACTGATGCCCATTGAATGAATGAGCACGAACAAGCAAATGAATGGAAGCAGACCTGCGGGCAGGATGGACTTACCCAGGTCCTTGCCAAATCCAGACTGCTTGAAACCCCCAAAGGGCGCGGCCACGTCTGTCTTGTTGTATGTGTTGACAAACACGGTGCCGGCTTGGAGTCGGTCACTCACATACAGGGCTTTGTTGATGTCCCTGGTGAAAACGCCAGAGGCCAAGCCAAATTCGGTGGCGTTGGCCCGAGACAGCACAGCGTCCACGTCGCTGTAGAGAACATCCAAGAAGGACTCTGTGAGGGAGGGCCCAAGGCCCCAACCCCTGAAAAGGGGCCACCGAGCCCCATGAAGTTGCTGTGGTTCAGCGAGGTGCCACCCTGCCCAAAGGTCAGCCCAGCCTCCTCCAAGCCCTAACTCCAAGGTGAGCCCAGTCACACCAGGCTGGTCCTTGAGTCTACAGGGAGAGAAGCTTCGGGTAAGAGGACAGCCTACCAGAGTGAGAGCAAATATGAAGGGGAAAGAGGGGCAGAGCAGACGAGGACTAAGCATGAAAGAGAGGAGAGAAGGGTTACAGAATGACGAAGGGACAGCACAGGGTCCTTTGAGGTCATTCAGGGCCAGCCCCTCACATCCCTGACAGAGAAATATGGCTCAGCCGGGAAGCTGGTGGGGTTCCTATCCCTTCTAGGAAGACACAGGCCTGCTATGAGGCTGGGCGTCTTGTGAGGGCCCACGGGAGAGAGCAATAAGGTGCCAGGTTCTAGTAAAATCGGTATATATATATATATATATATATATACACATACATACATATGTATATACATCTATATATATATACATACATATATATATATAAAATCATATTATTGGGGGCTTGTACAACTCTTATCACAATCCATCCAGCCAGCCATTGTACATTTGTTGCCCTCATCATTCTCAAAACATTTGCTTTCTACTTGAGCCCTTGGTATCATCTCCTAATTTTCCCCTTCTCTCTCCCACTCTCCCTCCCTCACGATCCCTTGATAATTTATAAATTATTATTTTGTCATGTCTTACACTGTCCGATGTCTCCCTTCACCCACTTTTCTCTTATCCATCCCCCAGGGAGAAGGTTATATATAGATCATTGTGATTGGTTCCCTCTTTGTCCCCCACCTTCCCCTTCCCCTCCTGGACTATTATAATTTCAACATTTGGAATTGAAATGGATTGAGTATGGAGGCTTGGTACTCCTGTGTAATTTTCTCAGAGACCATATAGACAAGGGACCACTGTAAGAATAGCCTGAGGACAACCTAGAGTCTGTGGAGGTGGGGGTAGGGTAGGGGAGCCCCTTTGCTCCACCGCCCAGGGGCAGGTAAGTCTGCAGGGTTGGCCTTGCTAGCTTATTTGACCAGGAGAGCATGGTGACAGTGACACTGAGATTTCTGAGGCTGGGTCATCAGGAGCCTTACAGTCCCCACCTGAACTCTTGCCTCCTTCTCTGTGGGGAGCCAGGTGCCATGCTGGGGACATACATAGAGAGAGGCCTTGTGACTGCATGAGAGAGCTACCCCAGCTATCCCAACTGAGGTCCAGCCGTTGCATGAAGGGAGACTGGTCTCCCCAAAACCCTGGAGATACTGAAGACCCTGAGTTAAATAGCTACTGCAGTTTACTACACAGCAACCCACCCCGCCCTGTGAAAGATATTGAAAGAGAAACAGAGATAAAATGGCAAGGTTAGAAGGAAGTAAGAGAAAGAAAGAAGGAGACAGAAAATGACGTGGGAAGGGGAGGCGGGAAGGAAATTGCCTTCTGCTCATAGTGGAAGGACTTTGAAGGGCTCTGGGTCACCGACAACTCTCCCTTGTGAATGCCCCCCTCCCCCTTCTCCCACTTTCCCTTCTTCTCCATGGACCACCTCCCACAGCTCACACTCAGACCCCAATAACCTGTGGAGTCTCAATAGACAAAAAAAAAAAAAAAAGATTCCATACCCATCAGCAAATCGAGAGATGATCATGATGGGCCCAAAGGACTCCTCCTTGGCGATGAACATGTGGTCTTTCACATTGGTCAGGACAGTGGGCTCAAAGAAGAAGCCTACAAGAGAGACAGAGGTATGGGTTGTGCCCCCTCCCACCAGCCCCCTTCTCATGGGATGGATCTGGGTCCAGACATCATGCCTGTGCGGCTGTCATCGGCATGTTATCTCATTTAGCCCTCACGACTCTTTTCACTAAACGCTGTCATGGAGAACAAGACTGACTTCACAGAGCTGGTACGCGGCAGAGCGGAGAGTGGAACCCAAGTCCATTGCTAGTGTCCCTAAGTAGGAAAGGGCCTGAGTCCTTCTTGTGACTTTTAATCTGAATGAATATCGGACCTCCTTGACTAAGGTAGACTCCCAGAGAGCTCCCCTACAGTCCCAGGGTTTTAGCCTAGAGAAGAGGCTGGTGCCTGGAGCAGGGCTGTGGATCCCAGTCCTGACAGCAGGATCTCAACAGAGTGCTGTCATCTTCCTGGAAGCCACAGAAGACAAAGGCTAATGCCCCCGCGCAGATGGGCATTGTTTCTTCGACCAGAATACAGTATCAGGCTCCAGAGTTCCTATCCAGGCCTCCACTTCCTTCAGCCCTGCTTCTCAGCTCCTATAGGCTGCGGTTCGGTAGTTGGGCAGATACAACTATGCGGATAGAAATGCTTTCTGTGATAACGTTTTGTTCAGACAGGGGGCTCAGAGGTCCTCTGAGAACCTGTTGGATGGATATTTAATTCAGTCTGATTTAGGAAAAACCACGAGACTTGAATTTTTCTCTATCTCATCTTCATAAAAGCAACAATCAAAAGGAAAAAATATGTCAGTAATATAACTAATAAAATAGTGGGCTCCCAAACCTCGAGTCAGGGTAGGTTTGGCCTCCGTCCCATAGCTCTAATCCTGGCTGGGCTCCAGTAACTCCACTCTCTCTTTGGGCTTCTTCAGGGCTGGTGACAAGAGCTTAAACTGTTTCTAGCATCTGGGGCTGTACCACTTTACTAGTCCTCTTAACCCTGCTCATATGTTTCCATCAGTAACTTCCTTCCATTCCCTTCCATTAGCCCTGCAACCAGGTTGTCTGTGTCCTGCTGAGACCCTGGCTGGGACTGTCCTTGGTCTTGAGAGTTGAGGTGTTGAGTTTTATAACTCAACACATGAGTTATCAAAATTGTGTAGAGGCATGAGGTACCAGGGAACATCTAGCCCCGAGGGCTGGGCTGGGTTTGAGGGCATCAAGGAAGACCTCCAGTATGCCCCTTGAACTGGAGGATGCCTTGGAATTCACCAGGTGGAGAAACTGAGGAAGGATTTGCTAAGCAGAGGAACAGCAAATGCACAGAGAGCATCAAGATACGAGAACACTTGGAAAGTTAATTACAGTTGGCGTATGATTCAAAGGCAAACAAGTTAGAATCAGAGCCTAAAGAACCTGCGATGTAATGTTGAGGAGTTTGAACTTCAGGCTATAGGAAAATGTTTTAACAGTGGTGGAGTTAAAAGCAGCCTTCTGACAGCTACATAATTAGATGACTTGTGGTTTAAGAGGTCACTCAGGAGGATGCTGGAAATACCCAGGCAAGACAATCCAGGCCAAATCAAGGACAAATGGGGGTTGTGGGTCACAGAAAAGGAAGAGTTGAGGATGAACTCTTGTCTTCCTTTCTTCTGTCAGGATAATTGCTCACCTCTCTATGTGAGCGGTGTGGTGGAGCCCAGAGGCATGTATCTGGGAGAAAGGGATTCCCTGGAAGGCATGAGATCACCCAGGTAAAGTGCTCGCCATTACTGCCCCAAGCGAAGAACAGATCTTGAGATTGCCAATATTGAAGAGGCCAATGGAGAAAGCGTTTCTAGCTAAGCGCAATGGCTGAGAAGCACTGACCAAAGAGGAGGAGGAAAACCTGGCAATTCAATATCACGGAATTCATGGGGGAAGAGAATTTCTAGGATAGCACATGGAAGCCCAGGATGATTTCACTTTGCTGTCCCCCTGCTTGGGGCCTGCCAGGTATCTGTCTGTGGGTGGCCCATCCCATCCAAGGTCTCCAGCAGGGGCCTGGCTCTGCAGCAATCAGCCCTCAGGACTCTCTTTGGAGCTGGTCAAGGAATCCGTCATGGCACCTGTGGACCTCCGTTAACCCCATGGACTGAGAGGATCAGACTGACCTGGCCGAGGGACTTGGTTCCCACCACAGACCAGGGTGGCCCCCTCCTTGACACCACGCTGGCAGTACTCAATCAGCTTCTTGAGGTGGGCTTGGTGGTTCTGAGGCCCATGGTTGGTGTCCCGGTCCAACGGGTTCCCAATTTTCATCTTCTTCACCTCTTCTACCTGTGGAAAGCCCGCCTCATCAACCTCACTTCTGACAGTGGCCATCACCCGGCCCTTCCTCCGTTTGCATGTTCAGGGACTGAAGCCTCTTGGGGAGGCCTACACTCCTCATCCTGGCAGTATCTTCTGTCGCCTGGCACCAAGCACACCTTTCAGGCTTATCTCCAATGAGTCCCTTTGTGCAAAGGTATAAACATTCCCAAGGGAGACACAGAGGCTAGTGTCAGGTGACTGGGAAGTGGAGCTGACCATGGATGTGGATGAATGGAAAGGACAGGAAGACATGTTCATGATGAGGGTCAGAGACAAAACACAGTGTGTCCGGACCTTCCCCGGGCTCCACATGCTAGGATGGTCTCTAACTCATGCTGGGTCAATTCTGACTCATAGCAACCCTACAGGGAAGAGCAGAGCTGCCCTCGTTTGGATTTACAAGGCTGTAAATCTCTTTTCAAAATCATTTTATTGGGGACGCGTACAACTCTTATCACAATCCATCCATCCATCCATCCATCCATCCATCCATCCATCCATCCATTGTGTCAAGCACATTTGTACATTTGTTGCC